TAAGATCCAATCATATAAGTTAATCATGTTTCTTTACAAAAAAATTTGAAAGTTTTTACATAAAATTATTAAATTTCAACTATATATAAACACTGAAAACATCTTTAAAAAATTTGATATAAGCATTCTTATCAAACTAAAGTAACTTCAAAATGTTCACAGCCAATCATATCTTTTATATCAATTCAACTCTATTACTAATTTTTATTGTGAGCTACAAAATTGACAGAAATTCAGATATTTTTTAGCACTTTTTAATGTTTAGATAAAACGTTGTAACACACGTTTGCAAGTCACTATTAAGATAGAGTTGCTTCAAAATTTTCACAGCAGTTCTATTGCTATTTTTTAGCATTAAAAAGTAACAAAATTGACATAATTTTCGACACTTCTTTCTTAGCAATTTTAAAGCTTTGATAAAAAACTCTAGCACAGAGGCCTTATTCTCTTATTCTCTTATTCTCTTATTCTCCAAAACTTAACTTAAATAACAATCCAGAATCTATTTTTAAAAATCAATTTTAGTGATTGACCAATCAGATAAATAAGGCCCCAGGTTTGATTGTCATCATTATTTTACTTTCAATATGCTTTCTTTACAGAATTCTAATTGATTAAACTGTGTTTGGCTTTTCATTTTGATAAGTGATAAAGATAACTGAAATTGAGATTTGAAAAAGTATTCTACTTAAGTTAAATAAATAATAACTTTTACACACAGGAAATCATACATCAGGTATTGCATAATCTTATTCAAGATAGCTTGCAAGGCAAGGTAATATACACCCACTGGCAACTTTGATTTTAAATAAAAATATTTAGCAGTACAATAACAATCACCAGTATGAAATATTCAACCTTCAGATATACACTTCTTTTGAACTCTTTAGGGTGATACTGAATAATATTGAGTGTGAGTTATTGCCCTTGTTCTTGAAAACGTGTTCAATCTTTAGCTTGTGAAAACTCTAGAAGACAAATATTCAATCTTCAGCACGGGACTGAATAATGAAACCAAGTTTTGTCAAAATCCAGCAAGAATCATGCCTTTTAGTGTTTAAAAGCTAAATTTGAAAGTGTTTTCAAGAACAAAGGGCAATGACTCATACTAAATATTTTTCAATTCTTCTGATTATCAA